TTTGTCTTAAAAGCAATAATTAAATGAGCGAATAGGTAAAAACCAGTCAGAATATTTAAAATCATAGATATAAATCATGAAGGAAAATGTTATTAGAAACTAAAATATTGTTTTAAAGAAACTGCCATTCTACTTAAAATTAAACCTCATTAAGGATTTATAAATACTACCATTAAGTTTTTAAAACATTCATTAGAATTAATTAAAACGTTTTTTTTTCTATATGTTTATAACTTAACTAATTATGAATAAATTTAAAGGTTATAGAGAAGACTTAAATGTTTTTTGCCATTCAAAATTAATTTTTGTCGTAAGTAATATCATAAGGGCATTTAATTTTTTCGAAAAGAATCGAAAAAACACGTTGCTAAGTAGTATTTTAACAAAAAGCCTAAGTGCTGGTGGCAACAAAAATCCGAGTCGAAGAGGAGGATTTTTGCACCTGCACGAATGCATTTTGTTAAAAAATATTACTTAGCATTGTGTTTTTTCGATTTTTTTCACAGGAAAAATTAGATGCCCGAATTTCATGAGTAACAGTTAACAATTAAAATATAAATATAATATATATAGATAATATAAATTTTGGTGACAAAAGCTATCAAGTTTTGCCGCGGGTGCTGTCACACAGTTTTTTCACCTAGAAACCATTTGTAATTCAAAATTGCGCGTTTGTGATTGGTGGAAATTAAGACGAGGGAAGTAGTCGATGTAAATTACCTACATAAGTTAAAATAGGCACAAAAAGGCGATATTAAAATATAAACGCGTTCATTCTAAAATAAATAAAAAAAAATAGTTTTAAAACAACATAAATAATTTAAATTTATGAACAAACTAATTTAACAACATTTCAATTTTTTTGTGGTTCAAACAATATCTTTTTTGACTTTTTCTTTTGTTAATTATGTCGTTAATACGATGAAATATTCTTATCGCACCATAGCTATGCATAGCCACAAAAACACGGTTTTAAATCTAGGTGGTCACTTTAGATCGAAGCGATGGTCAGCGCTTCGGAGTGTCTGCACACGAGAGTGTGTTGCATTTTAGCTTACTAATTTTTTTTTTGTAAAAAAAAGAGCCATTAAAAAATAAAATCACTAAAAAGTCATTATATTTTATATTTTGGGCTATTTAGGCAAGCATTTAGGCATTTTATTAAAATGCACTAAAAATGTCAAAGCACTTTGTGCATTAATATTTGACGATATCCATTTTGCCTAGAATCCGGCCTCTAATCATCAGTAATTAATTTATGCCAAATACCAGATCTAAATAATTAAATGTTGTTTTAATGCGACCACCCACAAAGTAAAGAATGTTATGGAATTTTTAATGTTTTATAACAGATTTAATGATACTTTGTTTGTTATGAATTTCTCTTCTCAAAAACCAATTTTTTTTTATTTAAAACAAATGAGTAACAAACTAACTATAATTATGACTGATATGTAACAACCAAAGATTTGTATACAATAAAAATATTGTGTCAAGTATAAAAATTGGTTAACAGGACAGATGTTTAAAAAAAATCAGAGAAATTGCCCAAAAATCAGGACAAATGTTTTATTTATTTATTTTTATTCCCACTCTTAAAACGCTCAGTATTGTACTATGCTCCACACCTCAAAGTCCCACCACGTGACCACGTACGGAACGCAGTCTTTTGAAAATTTGGCATTTAAAGCTTTTCAGGTTATGTATCTGTCAAAGTACAGTCAATGAAAGAAATAATATTTATAGTGTTACCGCTTATGTTTAAGCGTTAAAAGTTAATAAATCTTTATAGTATCACAATAATAATGGTTGGTTTAAGAATTTAGGAATATAAATACTGCATTTAATAAAATTCTAAATAAGTGATATTTTTGTGCATTGGGTCTACATTTCTCCATAAACTAGTTTTAACTAAACCGCATTTATAAAAAAAAATCTAACTTCTCTATTATGTAATAAGAATATCTGTATCAAAGGTAGGTTAATTTATTAGAACAAAAAATATCATCTGATTTTGTATTTTAAGGTTAGAAAAACCTATTTTGACCAAAATAAATAAGTGGATCATTTGGAAGAGTGTGTAAATATGGTCATAAATAAATATAGGTTTACTAAATAATTGTTAAATATGGTTCAAATTAAATTAAAGCTTTTATACTTCTAAAGACAAAACTTGTGCATACCTCTCGGCATACCTACTTTAAGTTAGATTATAAGAAAACAAACAATTTTTAGAGAAACTTGCAATGTGAAAATATTTAATACTCCCATGACATGTGATTTATTAAAATTTTAAAAGTTTTAATGATTTTTCGATGTAGATCAAATTCAGTTGAAGCTTTATAACTATTTGTATTGACAAAACTTTATGTGGGTACACTTTAAGCTGGATTAGAAAAACTCCCACATTTTTAAATACCATATTATACAGCCTTTAAAATAATCCAAAATACATTTATTTTGGTCAAAATAAATTTTTCTAACCTTAAAATTACAAAATTAGATGATATTTTTGTTATAATATATTAACCTACCTTTAATACAGATATACTTATTCCATAATAGAAAACCTAGATTTTTTTCTGATAAATGCTCTTTATTTAAAATTATTTTATGGAGAAAACACGATATTTGGACCAAATGCACAAAAATGTTACTTATTTGGCACCATACACTTTAGAATTTCATTAAATGCAGTTTTTATATTCCTAAATTCTTAAACCAACCATTGTTAAAAAGATTTATACATTTTTAACGCCTAAACATAATATTATTTCTTTCGTTGACTATACTTTGACAGATACATAACCAGAAAAGTCTTAGATGCCAAATTTTCAGGTGTGGAGCATAGTACATGTTTTCATAACACTAAATAACCTTTTAAATATACATATACACAGTTGTGGCTTTATGGCGTTTTAGTCACAGGCTAAAGTAAGCAACAAGTTTTTAGTCACAGGCTAAAGTTAGTTGACAGTTGTCAAATGTCATACAATCATTAAAATAAAGTGCCCTTCTTGTAAAATAATACTTAATTTAAAAATTATTTTATTATCTCAATACAAAAATACAAAAGTATTATATATATATAGTATTATATAAATAGTTTCTCAATAATTGAAAAGTTTAAATGCACGTTTAATTGACCTTTTAATTTCGCCGGCAGTTAACTAGATTTAACTTAATTTTGGGTGAAGACTTCACCGAGGAAAACATTTTCTTTACTTTTACTCTGAAATAAAAGCTTCTACATAATAATATATAAGTATTTGTCTTTGGCAACTCGTTTATGAAATTTGACACTCATTTGATTAAATTATTTAAGTATTTTTTTCCTATTCTCCAAAGTTACTGACTGAATATTTATTGCAATTAAAAATAAAGTACAAAAAAATGCACTTACCTTATATAGCTTGGGGTAGATAAAATATATATGATTTAAGAACTTACCATAAAACGTGACATGATTAATGGAATTAATTAAGAACCATTTTTATGGTTTGCCATAATAACTGGCTGGTAATAATAAGAATTTTAATTAAAACACAAACTTAATTATGGACACTTTTAATGAATATTTATATAATCTATATTTTTACATTTTTAAAAGAGTTTATAAACCGCTTAGGTACATTTTTTCTTAACATTAATTTTTAACAAATTTACAAAATAACCAAATTTTCTGTAAATTCTGTAAACACATAATTTTCATAGAAAAAGACTAGCGTTAAAAATATAATTGTATGAAAAAGGTCACTAAATTATTTGCTTTTTTATTTAATCGATTTATTCTATATTTTCTACATAGTACTTCACAGACAACATTATTTATAAATATGTACAAATACAATATATTATACAAGTTTATATTAAAATTCTAATAAATATTGCTTTCAAGTTTTATTTTTAGAAATAATAAAATATAATAAATAATCTACACTATTTTAAATATTTACATATACATTCTATATTTACAATTAACAATTGTTTTACGTTATACATGGCAGGTCAAAAATAACCTCTAAAAGACTCTTTTATTGTAGAAAATATATATATTACTTTTTGTAAAATATTTAGCGTTAAGGTATTTTTGAAACAAAAATTGTCTAAAAAATGTATGTGATATGTTTAAAGATAATTTTCTGACATGCCGTATAACAAAACATCATAGTTTGTGATATTAACAATTTTCTGTGGAATATTTACAAGTTACAGTCATATACGCGTTGTAAAAAGTAATGGCACACATATTCAGAAAAAGTGTTTCATACCACACAGCTTGCAATTGTGTTTAAATGAATGGTACATTAATATGTTTTTTGCCTTGCAACGCTCTGAGAATTGCTGAATTCAAGAAACAATGCTGACATACTCGCGAGAACGATTGAAAAAAGTTGCCCAACTATTAAGTGGAGCATTGACAGCTTACACCATGCACTGTAAACAAAATTTTCGACTGAAAAGTGCATTTCAGTTATTTGGATATTTTTAGATAATATTTTAGTTATTTTTAGAAGAAAAACCGAAAACATGATATTTTTTTAAAAAATATTTTTTTATTTTGATTCAAAAGAACGTTTTAGCAAAATTTTGTAATTTTTTATAGAAGTTTCTGATATATTATAAAACATGACTGAATTTTTATATTTTTTTAAGAATCCCAAATATTTTTTTCCACATAAATTATCTTCCTGCTAAACTTTCGATTTCATATACAGTGCAGGGTGTCCTTTGAAAGGCGGGCAAAAAAATCCGAGGCAATATTGTTTACAAAGTTCAGAAATCTTTGCAGAATTCGAAATGTCCGCCTAAAAAGTCGCTAACGACTCATTTCAGATAGCGTAGACTTTTGGATTCCTGGAAATGCCGACCAACTTTTTTCATGACGAAAACTGATTTGGTTTGGTTTAACAAACTAAATAATGAATCACAACTAAATGGAAGCATAAATTATCACCAAAATAATAAAAACATAATAATAAATTAATCTATGACTATGTCTATGATGGAACTTTCCCACCATGCATTTCTTGCAGCTCTTCTTCTTCTTTAGTCAAGGGAATCGTCGAGTGGTTGTACAAACCTTGAGCCATCAGCTGCAACGCCAAAGGATTTTTTTGACCGGAAGCCTTCTTTATTTTCGCCCTTTTATTTTGGAACCATATTTTTATCTGGGCTTCATTCAAGCCCAACTCCCCGCTCAACTGCTGCCTTCTCCTTTCAGTTAGATAACGGTTTTCAGCGAACTCGTGTTTCAGTCTTGCCAACTGAGCGCCGGAAAAGGCAGTTCGGGGTCTCTTTTCTTCAGGGGTTGGTGTTCCTTGCTGTTTTGGACCTCCTGGTTTTTTTACTCTTCTCGTTCTAGGACCTATAACAAGATATATATTTTAGAAAAATATATTTTTTTAAAAGAAATTATGTTGTCATTTGTAAATTAAGCTGTAGGCAGAGATGCGACTTGAAAAAAAACGGTCCGTTTTTTTTGTTTTTTTTTTCATTGTTTTTTTTCAAATGTTTTTTTTTTCAAATTTTAGGTGTTTTTTCAAGATTAGTCCCATTTGCCTAATTTTTTATGTTTTCATGGACTAAAATTAGCCACTAAATGACAATTATTAAATGTAAAAACAGTCTCGCGTTATGCACTCGCCACAACCACCGATTTGATTTGGTCCTAAAAAAGTATCTACATATAATATTTTTGATTCAGCGCTTGATTTTTTAAAAAGCTACCAAAAGCACTTTTTCATGATTTTTCAAATTTAGGTAGAGAATGGAATTTTTTTTTCAAAAAACAATAGCAAATTCTTGTAGAACATTTCTTCATTGATGGGCAGAACATTCCGTGGACCAAAAAATAAATAAAAAAAAATCGATTTTCTGTATTACGGTATTCGTTAGAATTGAGCGTTACAGGTTTTTCATCTAAAACTATAAACTTCAAGCTTCAAATTGCTTTTTTTACGGCTCCAATACGACCATTTTTAACAAATAAACAGCTATCCGAAAAATCGCAAAAAAAAATTTATCCTTTAATTTTTTGTATTAGTGTAGTTTTACATTGCATTGGTTTTTAATGTGGAAACCAAATAATAAGATTTTTTAGTCTTGGTCAAAATTTTCAATAATGAAAAATGTAATATATTCTACATTTTACTCAAAATTTCATTTTGAAAAAAAAAACAAAAAAAACCGGTTTTTTTTTAGGTTTTTTTTCATGTTTTTTTTCACATCTGAAAAAAAACCGTTTTTTTTACATCTCTAGCTGTAGGTATCATTTAATTAATGTTTTTTCGGGTTAATTACCATTGGCCGTATATATCTAGGATCATTTTTATTTGCGACCGCACTTATTAGTTTTTATTACCATTATAAATAACGCCCAAACAGTGGCGTGCATACAATAAAAACACAAACGCATTTCATACCCTGACATTTTAACATTTTTTATATCTTTCCATTTAATTTTAATTCCGTGATATAAATTATAATTTTATTAAAAGGTATGAAAAAGTTTATCTTAAGCGCCAATTAAAATATCAATTATATCATAAAAAAACATCACAGTCAAACACTCATTAATTAGACTATGTCTGACGGCAATCCGCTACATTAAAAAGCATCTCATAACAAGGCAAAGGCACTATGCAAGTGAAATGCAGTGCTTGAAAAAAGACAGCCTAATGAAACGAAACATATAAAGAAAAGAGAAGAGGCGAAGCCACGTGACGGCTACTAGGCGAGTGAATTCCACTGAATTTACCGTTGAAAAAATGTGCTCTGTTTAATTAATTTTCTGATAGCCATTGTTTGTTATGCTTTAGTAATTGGTTAGAATGCGAGTTCAAGTTACATTATTACAGGGTTTGGTCTAAAGAGCTTTATTATTTAATAATATTTATTTCTTTTAAATCTCATGCATTTTTGTAAGAAACTTAAACCCGATAAGACAACCGCTGGTGAATAATTTTATTTTCCCTATGCTATTCTCGTAGAAATAATACTATAGCATAGAATATTATTTCCATAGAAAAAGAATATTATTATTTTTATGCCTATTCTTGGTTGAGATTGGGATTTCACGCACCGCGCTTTTAATAATTGTTTTGAAAGTTTAGTTAGTTTAGTCCATAAACAAGGGATTGTAAACATTCAATTTTCTTAGTTTCTTTAAGAAACTTTCTTGACCCATCACTGGAAATATTCATAAGAAAAAATTGAACGTACACCTCGCCAAAGTTTTTGTTTTGAATGCGTTCCCAATAAAGGTCGAAACAGCTGTCTGTCGGTATTTGAAGATGGTGGAACGCATTCAAAACAAAAACTTTGGCGAGGTGTACGTTCAAGGGATTGTTGTTTTGTTTGTCATTGTGAGTTAGTTTTGTTGGTTAGAAAGATTTTGTAAATAGTTTTAGTGCTTTTTATTATGTAGTGCCATTGCAATGACAGTTTAATCTGTCTGGAAAAACTTATTAACAGTAAGCCTTTTACAAGTATGACATTTACCGAAAAACAAAATGTTATTAGGATTGTTAGATTTACCTCGGACAAATATAGTGCGGCAACAAAAAAACGATTTTTTAATAAATAAATCCATTACAATTATAAATGATTCTGCGGGTGTCGTCATTTAAAATAAAATGTATTTTTGGGTAAAGAAAGAAATTTTCGATTCTGTTGAATACCTTATTTTAAATGGCACTGCACGCCACTGCGCCCAGACTATATAAGTTAGAAATGCATTGTTATATCTATAAATTACTTCGATATATGGTTAATTACTTTTCCAGAAACAGTTTAATTAATTATTGGTAAAATTCTAGAGAATTAATTAACTAGGTATAGCAAAAAAGTAGGTTAATAGCTAATATCTAAAAGCTGTAGCTGCTTAACCTTAAGTTAGTTATAAATCCATTTCTCTCAGTATTTAAAAATTCTATACCATAGTAGTGTTTGAAATTTGCAACTACTTTCTATAGAAAATAATTACTATAGAAAGCAATAAACCAATCATAACAGGGTATTATCCACAGGTGCGATTTAACACTCCTTTGATTATCTTTTTAATGTGAATTCAATTTTAAATGGTTCGATGAAATAATGATAAGAAAACATATTTATGCTTAAATTTTTAATAGATAACCATAACGATTTATTAAAAAGAAATCACGTTATAAACTTTTTAAGAAAAATAATCAACATTTTGAATATTATGGTGCACTATGATTAACAATTTTCCTGAAACGGCTAAAAACTTAATGTATTCTGTCATCCGGAGTTTATTGTATATTTTAGCTTGTTCAACGACTTGACTTCTATGCCGTATTCGTTTAATTATATTCTGTCAGCACAAGTAAATTGAATAGAATCTGCATTATCAAACTGCAAACAACTAGTTTCTTCATGAATATTGCATCGAATTTAATGTAATTACTTTCAGCCAGTTATTGATTATGTTTAAGTTTAACTTAGCGAGCTGGGGTGCAAAGCATTCTGCAAGTCATCTTTGCTCATTTTCTAAACGAAGTTAACTCGAGAAATAAATGACCAAGACAAATAAAATTTATATTGGAAACATTCTTAAAATAGTAGGTTAGATCAATGATTATTGTTACATAACACATCAAGCTTTAATTTATTGAAAATGCCGGTTATAAGATACTACTTAGTTAATTACATAGATCGGAAAATAACATAATCAAGTTCTGTTTTTAATTGATGTCAATTACCACATATTAATTGAATAATAATTAAATCATTAGTTATTTCCACAGTAGATGTGCTTGATAATAATCATTAATAGAGTTTACTGTTACTTGCAATTAACACTACTTCAATCAATAAAGGTCTTGTTGCAGGAATAAGAACTTTGGTTTTTTGAATGGGTAATACTGGTCTCCAAATTTTTAAACAAAGACCTATATTTTTTTAAAGATTTTGAACTTGCTGTTCCACCACATCAAGCTTTTGAGAATTCCTAACCAAGTTTAAAAATGTAGTTTTTTAAATAACTGTGTTAGTTACATCACAAAGTATTATCTTTCTACTATACTTTCTCCTTTTAGAGACAATTTTATGAAAATTTATGAGTAAAACTTGATTTTAATCATTTTACGATTTCTCGTAGATAAAAAAAAAGGTGAAAAAAATTTAAAAGGATTTTGAAGAGGATTTTTAGATGGTATAACGTGTATTTGTAAAACAAATTTCATGATGTAACAAAACTTTTGGGTTAACATTTCTCAAAAAACTGAAGTGATGCAGCAATGTTATTATAGAGATTAAAAACAACCGTTAAAAAAACAATTTTTGCTATAAATTTGTTCTTAAAAATAACTTTTAAAATAGATACATTCTAGGTATAAAAGGCGAGTCAAGATTTACAAATAAAATTCCTATCCAAGTACAGTTATAATCTTTTTACTTGTCATAATAGCATATTATGTATCAAGATTTCTAAACGCCATTTTAGTTACGAGTTTTATTAGGCATGAGCGAAGCTTGCGAGCGAGCGTTTAATAAAAACGAGTGTCTAGAGAAGTTTATAAAACGGGTTGCATACTATACTTTATCTAAGACGAACATAAAGAAGAATTTAAAGCCAATTTTATTTTTTTAAAATTTGACATCTGTCAACTGTCAACAGATTTAAAATCACTTTTTCCCAAGGTTGCTAACTTCAGCCCGTGACTAAAACGCCATAAAGTCACAGCTTATCAATGGTGGAGTAGATAAAATCATTAACAGCATATTTTAGTATAAAGTTCATAAAATTATTTTTAAAATTTAAAATTTGCACGTTTAGTATGTACTTTAGTTTAATTTCAAACAATTTTAATATTGAACATAACCTAAAAACGACCCACCCCTGTAAAATCTTTATTTATTGTGCGATTTTAACCGGATTGGTTTTAAAGTGTAGATCTTGATAAACTGTATTTTTGGAACAAAAAACGCCATATTTGTACAAAATTTTTAAGAATTCATATTAGCGATTAAAAAAATCTATACACGTCATATTCACAAGCCCTAAAAACGACCTTATACTAAATTTTATTGAAACATTTTAAGTAGGAACGATTTTGTAGCTAAATTAAAAATGCACAATAATTACTATTTACAAAAATTTATTCTGTCAAGTGACCCATGAAAAAATATGAAATAAAATTAAACCAATAGTAACATGGTATAAAAATATTATTATTATTATTTAAATCGCTAATATGAATTCTTAAAAATGTACTCTCATAAACTGATATATAATAGTAGGACTTCTATTTTGTAAAAATATGGTGTTTTTTGATCCAAAAATACAGTTTATTAAGATCCACACAAAATCCGCTTAAAATCGCATAATAAATAAAGATTTTACAGGGGTGAGTCGCAAACAAATGGGTCACACTATAGACCTTGCTGGCTACATGTTGGATTTATTCGTAATTCTTGATACATCTGTTTTAACTTCGTGATGTCACGCGCTCTCTTTAAGGTCTTTGAAGCGTTTTGAATCTTGCATTTTTCAAAGTTTAGCGTTCTCAAAAACTTGAATAACAAACTTGTAAGGGTAGATTGCAAACCCCATTCTTGGGTTCAAATTCAGCGCATCAAAAACCTTAATGCATTTGGAATTCAGTCGCCCTGTAGAAACCACTGTTTACTAAACTTTTAACTTAATAAATTTAACATTTTCTTATGACATAAGTCTTTCACGTTAAAAATTTTGGGTTGGTAATTAGTTAATGTCGGTTAAAATATGCTCCAAAGTGATCAGAGAGACGCTTCCCCACCTGCCAACAGAGAAATTCTCTAATTGCGAAGCTGTCAGGAACATTGTCTTAAGACAAACCAATATAACTGTCACAAGCCACATCTTCAGTATTATTATACCTTCCAGCAAATGTTACGTCTTCCCGCCTCGCTCGGCTAACAAACACATCGTTTTTGCATGCATTTTAAACGGCTCGTTAGCAATTGTTGTGGATAATTACTGCAAGTGTTTTAATAGTGATCTTTTAACAGTTTTATACGATTTTTTGTAAAATCTCTCGAATTTGAGAATAACGAGTTTAATATTGTGCTTTATTATTAAAATAATCTTTTAATTTGGCACCAATTCCTTTCTCATTAAAAATAGTCAAAGTGAACAAAACATTCACTTTTAGCATCTGGTTATTATAACTGTTTAAAAGAAAGAGTGAGGACATGAAAAACATGAAAAGGGATTTCTTCAAATTATGGATGATAATAGATGCAGCTGGAAGAAGCTGAATAAGAAGAAGAAAGCAGCTTAAAGCAGGAGCAGAAGATACGTGTACGTATCGCATTAAACCTCTTTACGGAGTGGACGTGTGTTTTAAACAACATATAATTAAGAAGTACACATAAACATTAATCTTGGAATAGAATGTGTATACGTTAGGTACGTGCAGAAAGTTAATTGAAGAAATAAGAAGAAATATAGTGGCCACGGGACGATAAAAAGCAGTCCTTACATCTTAACATGGCAATGGCGGCCGTGTTTGCGTTCAGACATTTGGTTCACATACAAATGTCGCGACTCTTCTTCTTCTTCGTCATCTCCTTTCTTCTTCTGCTTCAGCTAATTCATTAATCATTTTCTCAATCAATATGTTCTCTATTTACGGCGAACGCGTTCGGCAGGCCTCTCCTTATTTTTTGCCCCTTCAAGGATCAGCCAATGGGAAAACGCGAAATTATCGTTAAGCACTCCCCGCGGTATCGACTTCTTTTACAAATATAGAGCGATCTAATGGCCAACAATCTCTTATTATTTCCATACAAACAAGTTCACTCCATATTGCACCAACACAATTTATTATATCCAAGTAGTTTAATACAATTAATGCATAATGAATGACGATTTTTAAACTGTTTTTTCTTAAAAAAACTAGTATTTTTTTTTGAAAGTAATTAAGAACACCAATCTTAGCAACATAATATTTCATTAATTTAGGCTAAGAAAAGACATTGTTTTTAAACTATCGAAAAATGCAATGTATTTTTTATGTTAATTTTTAATCGTTTAGATTTTTTTCTATAATGTTAAATTGTTTTCATGTAGTATTGCTAAAATTCCAATAAATAAAGGACACCCTACTGACAATCGGGTGTTTAATAAAGTTGAGCGTTTTTAACAAATTATAACATAAACTAAAAATATTATCGATTTTTAAATTATATGTATGAAGCCAATAAGCAAATTTTGCATGAAATAGCAGCCATTTTTAAATATTTTTTTAAATAATTGGACTATCGTGACTTCTATTACGAAATATGACCGTTCATTTTTTTTTACTTTTTGACCCTTGACCTTGAGTACTATACCACCGAGGGCGGTCAAGTCTATTTTTATGGCTTATAAAAATTGGAAAAAAAATCAGCGGTTCTCAAATTATTTGGAAAAAATAATATCAACATACACATTTATCTAAATTTTTATCCAATTTATGTTTTTTTCAACTAGATTTTGAGTTAACACCACCATCTTTTGCTTTCCTATGGCCGCCCTATTGAAATTTTACATGGTTAGATATAAAAAATAAAAAATCAAGGAATCCAACGATGAATCAAAGTACATAAGTTATGGCGGCCATTATAAAAACACCAAAAGATGGTGTGGTAACTCAAAATTTTTTAGCAAAAAAATTGGATAAAAAACGTAAATTAACGTGTTTGCATGTAAAACTAACTTTTTCCAAAATTCCCAGGAATAACAAAGTTATAACGATTATAACTAACTAACATTTTATTATTGAGCTTCAAGATAAAATAAATATATCTATTACATCAGTTTATAAACTATAGGGTATTTCCACGAAACCTTACCCCACCTTTACAAAAAATCAGATGTTATTTAACAAAATAAAAACTATATCGAAGTTAAATAGTTTAATTGCGACGAAATTTATAACCTTAAAATATTCGTACATTGTGATGCTAAAAAGCTAACATTAAGAATAAACACGGAAGAGTTTCAATACTCGATAAAATGTTCAAATGTAGCACCCGTTACATTTTAAGAAAATTTTCGAAAATAAAGTATACAATATTTGTGCATTTAAAATACGTGCTTGTTTAAGATTACTATTCAAGTTTTACACAAAAAATTATTACTATACGCTTTCATCCAAAATTTTACAGTATCAACTTTAAAAGCCAACTTGGTCACATCTGATGATTTTCTAAGGTCGCGGCCGTTCGCGATTCATCACTTTATAAAATGTTTTCTATACAAGTTTTTATTGACATTTTGTTTGAGTTAAATATCTAATTTTTTATACTATTTTTGTATATTAACGTATCTTGATATATATAAACAAACACTTTTTTATGATGAAAAAACGCATTGTCAGTGTCGCACCCGTTACAATGGAAATACCCTATGGTGATTTTTAACCATGCAAAAACGACCATTTCTAATATTCTAGGCCTCTAGCGGCTTTTAAATATTAAAGATATGGTAAATTTGTATAGTAAAATACAGTTTGTTAACATTTTTACAAAATGTCAGTTTGGCAGGAATATGACGAATTTCGCCACTGTGACGAAATATTCTGAGAAACGCTGGCTTTCCTTCCAATTTATAAATTTCATTTTAATAGGCTTGTAATTACGCAACTTTTTACTAATAAAATTAAAAAAAATACTCAGAAATATATAAAAACTAAAAAATATACCTACCCACAGCTTTTTTGTAATTCTTATTATTTCAAAAAATACCTTTTTGAATCATGCATGCTGATTTTTATTTTTTTTTAATCCCTTTAAATAAACATTTAACTGGGGTACTCCATTTATATAAACTATAGCAATTTTATCTATCCAAACTATTTTTAAGGTTTTTATACGAATTTAACTTTTAAGATTTAAAGTAGCAAAATTAAATTAATTTTGGATATTTTGTAGTTCATAAAATTATAAAAACAATCATATGAATATTTATACAAATTTAGTTGTTTATTAAGTATTATATAGAAATACTATTTTTTCAATAAAAAATATATAACTAGAAAATGTAAACTATAAATCCTTATTTGATACCATTTACCTTTTTGTTAATAGCATAAAATTTAAGTAAAGAGTTTTAACCAATTTCAAAAACCTTTTTTCACTCGGTAGCCAAATTTAGTTATTATTTTACAATATGTCAGACAAAAAATACCTACTTCATTTTTAATGAAAAATTATAAAAGACCAGCTCTTTGTTTTGAAATGCTTAAGAATGTTTTGGAAATTCGAATTACGAAAAAAATGTTACAGCAATGTTTTTTAAGCTTTACTACCTATAAAATCATCATTTCATTAAAAAAAAAATTTAAAAACAATTTTACCTATAGGTAGGTATATAAATATTAAATACCATTCATATGTTTAATAAGAATCAATATTATGACATTTATTTAAAATTAATTATAAACTAAAGATAAATAACCAATATTTTATATTAAAAAACGCAGTAAAGCAGTAAATGACAAACTAATAGCATCACTGTCGTGTAGTAAAACTACTGGTGTAGCGCTAAACCACCATAAAAATATTAATTACCTCAGTGGCATAATGAATAATTAATGAAAGACAACATAATTTCTCAGTTGAGGTAAACGTTCTGAATATATGTTTTCCCTTGTGGTATCATTCTTAACAAATAACAAATTAGAATTAGAATGAGGATTGTGCAAATTTCGATATTTTGCTAATCAGCAAATTACTTAATTAATTTAAAACAATATTCTCACGTATTTCTGGTCTTTACATCGTTTTGGAAACTTACTTCGTCCTAGAACAAAAAGAAAAATAAATTAGTAAAATGCAGAAATTTTGAAAATAAAACAAACCAAAATAAAATTTAAAGCCTCAACTTTTGTTTTTTAATTGAACAGGTTTTATTTTCTTAAATGTACATAATTTGTACATACACAAAAATATTAGTTAAACAGTTGTGAGATGCATTTGAACTTTTTTATGCAAATTTCGTAGCATTAACAGGGTTTACTTTACTATAAATATGCCAAGTGTTGTAGCACAAAAACTTTCGGATGTATATTCTTTGGGAATATACTACCAAAAACTACAATGTTTTAAGGTTATGTCATATTCGTTTTAAAGAATTTGTATTTAATATTTTTTAGTTGATTTGCAAAAAAAAATTGCACCACTCAAATATTAAATAAAATTTTGTTTTTGTTGTTTTATTTAAAAAAGGTAGATATTAATAATATATTATAAAAATTGATTTTATGTTGAAATATTCGTCGGCCTTATCACGAAGTGGCTTATGGTAAATATATTTTTCGTTTATATAAATTCTTGACACCACCCCTCATATTATATTCATAATTAGAAGCCATTTGGAAAGCTTTCCGTTGAATTAATAAAGCTATTTGGAATATTACACCACAATAAAAAAATATCTATTATATCTACAAAAACAAAATATATTTCCGTTGTTCCCAAACGTATTATCGTGATTTAGTTAATAAAATATTTTATAACACAACCCTAGAAAAATTACAAAAAAAAACGTCAAATATAAAATGATGGTAAACCATTAATAATATTGAACGGTGTGCGCCAGCCTTAAGCTATTAGCACACAAAAATTACTAAGTGAACGGTTTTATTTTCATAATTTCGTTAAAAAACGTTTTAAAACAGGGAAATTGTTACAGTTCTTGGTAAACAATATGCAAATGATTGATATTTTTTATAACACATCAGAATTACGTCTTAAAAAAGCAAATTTAACGGCAGTAACTTTACAAATCAAGTTCGAATGCTGACGTCACCCTCTAAACATGAATTAGTCAAAAATGACTAATTAATTAGTTATTAGTGGCTGCTTGGTATCCCAAAATTTAACAGCCAATTCTTATGTAAAATTGTCCCCTGAATCCGATAATGTCGTCAGAAGTTAAACAGTAGAACAGTTTTTGAGATATAGTCAATTTTCCATTTAATATGGAATTGACTTTATCTCAAAAACTGCTCCACTTTCATAATTTTTGACGGTATTTTCGGATTCAGGGGACAATTTTACATAATAATTGGCTGTTACATTTTGGGATACCATGGTATATTGAGCATACAGATTTGTCGCGACTATAGTGTAGTAATTGTCAATCTCAAAACTAAGATTTGTAATTTTACTATAATTTTTATTTAGTAAATTTACCATTATTTTTTAACAGTGTAAATTGTACTTGTAATAATTTAAATAAAGTTTTTAATTTGATCGGGATTGATACGCGGCGTCTTCACGAGTTCTTTATATACTTATGTTTTAATTGATATAAATATAAGATATTTCTAAGATATACATTTTTTTAAAGCTTTGTTTCTTTTATTATTGTTTACAAATGTTGTCATGAAAATAAAAAAAAATCCGAACAGCAGGTCTAAACTATAGTTTAGAAAACCGTTAAAATTCAACTATTTTAACCCTTTGAAATTACAAATTATGTTACTTTTTAAAAACAGTTGTTCGTAATCAAATTATACCTAATACACCAATTACTTTATTGTATAAAAATAATAATGCCAAGACTAATACAAGAAATT